CAGCCACTAGACTGGCCAGGGATGATGGGAGTTGTAGTCCCAAAGATCCGGAAGTCAGCATTTGGGGCAACCTTTCTCAACCTGGGATCCCCAGATGTTCTTGACCTACAACTCCCACCATCCCTGACCAGCCGTGCTAGCTTGGAATGATGGGAGTTGTAGTCCAACAACACCTAGGGACCCAAGGTTGAGAGAGACTGGTTTTTTTGGGGGGAGGTTGAATTAAAGCATTGTTACAAATAAGCTCCCCCGTCTTGTGGGACGAGCAGTTCCAGGGGCAATTCTAAAGGATTTATCTTCCATAGGATGAGAGAGCTCTGGAGTCTCTCTGAGATATTTGATTTACAGTGGTACCTCGGGTTAAGTACTTAATTCGTTCCAGAGGTCCATACTTAACCTGAAACTGTTCTTAACCTGAAGCACCACTTTAGCTAATGGGGCCTCCTGCTGCCGCCGGAGCATGATTTCTGTTCTCATCCTGAAGCAAAGTTCTTAACCTGAAGCAGTATTTCTGGGTTAGCGGAGTGTGTAACCTGAAGTGTATGTAACCTGAGGTACCACTGTATTTGCAAATTTATGGGCAGATGGATTTTAAGCAGAGGGAGATACGCTCCTCTAAGCAGACGGCAGAGTCTGCGTTGCATTAGCAGGAAGCAGCTTGTTCTTCCCTCTGCAAGGCTGGGACTCCGTTTCCAGCAAAAGCCCGCTTTCCTCTTTGAATCTGTTGTAAACAAAAATTGCCCTTTTCTCTTATGGGGTATCGAAGAGCCCATATAGAGTCCTTACATAGGTTCCCTATTGGTAGGAGAAAATAACAGAGGCAAACAAGAGACTATTGAGAAGCAAAGCAGCTAGTAAGCTTGATCTTTATTGATCTGTTGCAACAGGGTGCTCCCCTCACCCGCAGGAGAGGAGGAGGAACCCAGAAAAATGGAGCGCAAGGCCTTATATAGACTTTTGAAATTGCTACCCTGTAGATCAAGACCACCCCCAGAAATATCATACATACATCACAGAAGGGGTGTAACCTAAGACCACCCCCCAGATACATCATACCTACATCACAGAAAAGGCGGTCTTAAAACAGAAATTTGAATGTTGTTTTTCTCCTGTCGTTTATCTCCTGTCTGGCAGGTTACTTGATTGGATTGCCTGGGTAGCCTGGCCAGTCTTTTGTAATGATAAATACTTAGTTCCTGGGCCAGGTCACAGGTTCACACCCTATTCATATCTTAAATGTGCCCTTAAGACAGGATTTGTGAGGAAAGAGACAATGGGAGGTTTCCCACTTTGACCTTGCAGAGAAAACATTTGCTCAGTTTAGGAATCAAAATGGTTCCAGGTCGGTCTTCCTGTGCTGCTCTATGTATGTGCTTGGTTGGTACGCTTATGAACATTACCATATATCTAAGACCTCAAAATTCCTATCACAAATCCAAACTGCAAACTCGCCATTTCTGCCCCCCCCCCAAACCACACATCTAGCAGTTCAGAGCAGGCGGCGGCGGCGGCTCCTCTAGTCTGCAGAGTGGTCCTATACTGCCACCTTGTGGCCATAATAGAAAGCAGCAACGGTAAAGATAAAAGGGAATGGGTAGAGACGTGGTTCAGCGGGTTCGCTCCTTTGGATAAACTTTATTTTCATATTTGGAACTACAGCCGATTATAGTAAAGGATTTCCATTTTTAATGCACATGTGATCTTTATGTAGGGTTGTAATGGGTTTTATGTAGGGTTGTCATGTTTCAGAAGATGAAGATCTGGACACAAAAGCTGTTTGAGGTTTTTTTTTTTTTTTGGCAAAGTTGTTGAGCTTTCCCCCCTAAAAGCACACACAAAAAATTGAAACTCGCCAAAAAACAACAACACTTCCAATATGGGTTGCCATACCGCCGGGTTCTCCCAGACATTTTCACCATTTTCCCAGGGGGGAATTGTGCAACGCAGCTATGATAGCCTCTCATTAGATCCAGAATTTCCCGCACTTGGGTTTGTAGCTGTTTCTGGATTACAATTCCCATCATCCCTGACCACTGGTCCTGCCAGGTAGGGGTGATGGGAGTTGTAGTTCAAAAACAGCTGGAGAGTCAAGTGTTATAAGAAAAAAACCGCTCTTTTATTCCCTTATGGGGTACCCAAGAGCCCATCTAGAGTCCTCTTTTTAGGTTCTCTATGGGTAGGAGAAAATAACAGAGGCCAACCAGAGAATATTGAGAAGCAAGGCAGCTACTAAGCCTGATCTTTATTAAAGCTGTTGCAACAGGGTGCTCCCACCACACACGGGGGGGGGGGAGGGTAGAGAAGACCTTGAGCACAGCTGTGCAAGCCCTTATATAGACTTTTTAAATTGCCCAGATTGCATTATCTGGGTTCTGGCCGCTCTTTTGTTATTATAATTCCTGAATCTAGGTCACAGGCTCACACCCTGTTCATATCTGGAATGTGCCCTTAAGACAGGATCTGTGAGGAGAGGAAAGAGACAATGGGGAGGTTTCCCACTTTGACCTTGGAGAGAAATATTTGAGGTCAATTTGTTCAGGACCAAATCTGTGGGGTTTCAGACATGTGATTTATATATACAGTTATGAACATTTTTTTTAATACATGACCTTAAAATTCTTATGACAAAAGCAATGGGGGGAAATGCACTTGAAAGTGTAGCAGAACACTGGCTTTTGACCTAACGTGTTCTAACCTCCCTGCAAACTAATCACTCATTAAATAGCCACCGTCATCCAATCAAATCAGGCTGAATGCTCAATAAACAGGTTGTCTGAAAGTACCTCCATAATACAGTAGTGTCATAACAGGGCATGCGCAGACATTGTGACCACCGACACAGCTGGGTTAGATCAGTGGCCCAGATCCCTGCAGGAAACCCACAAGCAAGACCCAGGCACAACAGCACTCTCCCCTCCCTCTGGAGGTTCCCAGAAAAGGGTTTTCAGAAGCACTTCTGCCTCCTGAATGGTGCCCTCTATCTAGATCAGGTGTGGGGAATGTCTGGCTCTCCAGGTGTTGTGGAACTACAACTCCCATTAGTCCTTGCCATCGGCCATGTGAGCTGCAATAAAACAACATCTGGAGGGTCAAAGGTTCCCCACATCTGCTCTAGATGTTTTGCACTGCACATTCCACCCCCCCCCTGAGAATCTTGCCATGCTGGCTGAGGTTCATGGGAGTTGTAGTATGAAAATCCGGAGGGCACCATTTTTGGTACGCCTGTTTTAGACGTCTTGCTGTCATGACTGCTCTATTTGCAGATGAAACAAAACAAAACAAATAAAATAAATAAATAATTCCTTCCAGTAGCACCTTAGAGACCACTAATTTAGTTATTGGTATGAGCTTTCGTGTGCATGCACACTTCTTCAGATTTAAGTGCAGAGTATAAATAGAGGAGGGAAATACACTCTCTTAAGCAGACAGGACAGCTCTGCCTTGTTTATTCAGGGAGCGGCTTGTGCATCCGTCTGCAAGGCCATAACGCCGTTTCAGGCGAATCCCAGGCTCCCTTCCACCTCAGATTGCAAACTCCCCGTTTCTCACATGGCCACTCATCTCATGTATCTCATCTCGCAGCTCTCGGAGCAGCGGTGGAGCTTCCTTAAAGAGCGGTCCTGTACTGCCACCTCGTGGCAATAAAAGAAAACAATGATTCAAATCAGCGTTTCTTGCCCTCCCTGCTCGCCCGTTTAAGAAGCCTTCGTAGGGTGAATTTCTGTTCTTTCTGGACAAATTGTGGTGGCAAGTCAACAGGTTTCCCACCCAAATCACTCCACAAAAGCTCTTCAGTTAACTTGCACCCCTGCTCCAGATCAGTTCCTCTTGGATTCATACACACCCACTTAATTTTCCCAAACACCTGCCTCTAAATAAATTAGGTAAAGGTAAAGGGACCCCTGACCATTAGGTCCAGTCGTGGCCGACTCTGGGGTTGCGGTGCTCATCTCGCTTTATTGGCCAAGGGAGCCGGCATACAGCTTCCGGGTCATGTGGCCAGCATGACTAAGCCGCTTCTGGCGAACCAGAGCAGCGCACAGAAAGGATGTTTACCTTCCCGCCAGAGCGGTACCTATTTATCGACTTGCACTTTGACATGCTTTCGAACTGCTAGGTTGGCAGGAGATAAATAAATTAATTTCCCCTTTAATCATGAAACTACCCAGACCCTGAGATCACCTTCTGAGGCCCTCCTTTGTGTGCCTCCTCCGTGAGAGGTTTGGAGGGTGGCAACAGGAGAACGGGGCCTTCTCTGCAGTGGCTCCCTGACTGTGGAATGCTCTCCCCAGGGAAGTTCACCTGGCACCTTCATTATACACCTTTAGGTGCCTGGCAAAAACATTCCTTTTTAACCAGGCCTTTGGTTGATCCAATTTCCGTTTTAAAATGTGATGGTTTTTTTGAAGGGGGGCTATTGGGTTGTTGTTTTTATATTTATTAGGTATTTTGTGCTTTTATATCTTTATTTTATTCTGTGAACCGCCCTGAGACCCCCGTGTATAGGGTGGTATATAAATTCAATAAATAATAGCAATAATAATAATAATAATAATGAATCACCATATTTATTTCCCCAAACCACCTGTAGGCAACATACTATTAAATTAATTCATTTCCCCAAAATTTAATATATTCCCTACTTACTAAGATCACCCCTTTGTTTAATTTTATCTCAATTTTACCATCTGCCAAGAAACACCTGGGCCAATGAAAATAACGCCAGAAATGTATGGAGATATACTTAGTCTGGATAGGTTTACTACATAAGTCATTGTATAGCAATAAAGAACAGAATATATCAGAACACCTTTCAGCATTCAGAGTTGAACTTTTGATCCCCCTGGCCACTAAAACAGCAACTATTTCATAATCACAAAACAAGAGAACAAAATCCTGAAATAGTATAATTCTATTGCACAGTTCCAGTATATTTACACCTCTTTTATAGTTCTATGCAGATACCAAGAATGTAATAAAACCACAGACTCTTCTATCATTTATGTCTTTCTCCGTATTAGATGTTCTCTGTTATTCAGCTCAGGCCGCAACACAATAATGTAGCATTTGGGGGAAAAGATGCAGCCCAGCAGGCCAGCACTGGAAGCCAAGATGGAAAAGACTTCAACAGCCACCATATATTTTCCTCTTGTGCTCAGGTAAGTTGGGACAAAGGATACCCAAACACTGCAGAAGACCACCATGCTGAAGGTGATGAACTTGGCTTCATTGAAACTGTCAGGCAACTTCCTGGCTAGGAAGGCCACAATGAAGCTGACCGTGGCAAGGAAGGCCATGTAGCCCAAGACGCAATAGAACATCAGGACCAAGCCTTCGTTACACTGCAGGACTATTTCCTCTGTCATTGTGTGCATGTCTAAATCAGGGAATGGAGGAGAGGTTGCCAGCCACAGAGTGCAGATCCCTACTTGAATTTTGGAGCAAAAGAGGACAACGGAATAAGCCAGTCTTTTATCCACCCATTTCCTTATTCTGGATCCTGGCTTGGTAGCCATGAATGCCAAAACCACCGATATGGTTTTGGCCAAGATGCTGGAGAGGGCCACAGAGAAGACGATGCCAAAACTGGTTTGTCGGAGAAGGCAGGTCGCCTTATTTGGTGTCCCAAGGAACAGTAAGGAGGAGAGGAAACACAAGAGGAGGGAGACAAGGAGAACATAGGTGAGACTTCTGTTGTTGGCTTTGACTATGGGAGTGTCCCGGTACTTAATGAAGATGCCAAAGACTAGAGCTGTGATCAGAGACAACAATAGTGCAGAGAATGTTGAAATGATGGCCAAAGTTTCATCAAAGGCTAAGAAGTTTGGAATCTTAGGAATGCATTGATTCTTGCCCTTGTTTGGATAGTGATCTTCTTGGCATACGAGACAAGTTTCCATTTCTGGACGGGAGGAAAGCAATGCATCACAATCCGAACCAGTTACAGCTATTCTTAAAAACAACTTTTATTAAGAGTCCACCTAGCCTAATATTTTCTCCAGGGAGCCCTTCAAAACTTCATGCCTAAAACATTTTAAACAGTTAAGTCGTGTTATCAAATCTGGACTTTTGTATGTGAAGGATATATGTTCTTTTTAATTCTTGTTTGCCTCGTTCTTTTCCCCCTTTATCCTCATGAATCATTATAGCCGAAACTTTGAGAGCCAACCCTGCTGATTTTGACAAGACTTTTCAGCTTCTCTCCATACAGCCTTGTTCTTAAAGGAGAATCACAATTTCTATTTCATCTCAAGTTAGTAGAACTTGATGGCAGAATGTAGTGACTTCATTTCTTAAAAAAACATATTCTTCAAACTGGTTGAAACTTAAAATTGTATACATATTATTTATAACCAATGGAAAAAAATGCATAATGCCATCATTAAATCCTTGCCCCGCTTTAATGAGAACAAAATTGCAAAAGAGCTTCTTGGAGATTACTGCAATGTATTGTACTGTTTGATATATCCCTACCCTTCTCATTTGAGACCATCCCATCTGGACATGGAACACAATCATAGCAGCAGAATTTAACTCCTTCCTTCTTTTTCTTTCCATAACCAGGATGGCAGATGTCATTACATTCTGAAAGCGGTGGCACCTATTCAAATATATTTGAAGAGTTTAATATTCAGAGAACATCTAGGAGCATTCATCTTACATCAGATAGTCTACTAGTAAAGCGGAACACTAATCGTACAAAATATACGGTATTCTTCCTAATTGCTCAGGTAGCACATTCAGGGCAACAATTACCTGCTGTATTAAACATAATCCAAACTGTAGAAGATTAGGATGTTAATACTTAGAATGACCAAGTAGGTTAGAATTCAATCTAATGCCACGAAGCAGAAATTTTAATCTGTTTTAGTATTTTGACTTTGGTATGTTTTAAAGTAGTTACGTTTCCCCCCTAGATTTTCTTGTTTGGTCTTCTTGTAAAGCACTTGGAGGTATTTTTAGCAATCAAGGAGTGCATGCAGTTTATGAAACAAACAAACAAACAAACAAACAAACAAACAAACAAACAAACCAGCCAGCAAGCAAGCCAGCCTCAGGGATTTCACAGAAGAGAATGATGGACAACATCCTCTGACATTAATTGAGTTCTTGTTAGAGATGTTTTTTCCTGGATGGTGCACTTTTAATATTGCTGTCATTTGTATATTTACTGGTAGAACTTTCAGTACTTCTTAAAGGACAATATCTTCTGCCAGGTGGATTACAAACATATCTTCATCTGAATGTTGGTACAGTGGTACCTCAGGTTACATACGCTTCAGGTTACATATGCTTCAGGTTACAGACCTCGCAAACTCAGAAATAGTGCTTCAGGTTAAGAACTTTGCTTCAGATAGATATTATAGATGGGAAAGACAAATTGCTGTCAAAAACATGTGACCTATTACTGAATTGGTACACTAAAGATGAGGAGGTAAAGGAAGCCATAATCAAATGGGCCATAGATTTTGGTTACAATATTGAATTGGAAGCGTGGCAGGAATTATGGAGTGAGAATTTAAAATTTACGGCATGCACGGTATTTATGGAAGAGAATTTATGGAAGAGAATTTATGGAAAATGATTTTCAGGTGGCATCTTACTCCGGTAAAACTGGCAAAGATGTACAGAATGAAAAATAAGAAATGTTGGAAATGTGGAGAGGTAGATGGAGATCTCTACCACATGTGGTGGAAATATGGAAAGGTGAAGGGTTTTTGGGATTTAATCTATAATGAGCTTAAAAAAATCTTTAAGTATACCTTTCAAAAAAACCCAGAAGCCTTTCTTTTGGGATTAGTGGGAAAGGAGGTTAAAAAGAAGGATAAGAATTTATTTTTGTATGCCACGATGGCAGCAAGGATTATGTTGGCCCAGAATTGGAAGACAAATGTAATACCAACTATTTCGGACTGGCAGGTTAAATTGATAAATTATGAGGAACTGGCTAGATTATCAGGGAGAATACGAGATCAGGAAGATCAGAAGTTTTCTGAAAATTGGAGTAAATATTTGGTGTATATAAGAGATAATTGTAAATCTTTAAAGACACTGGCAGGGTTTGATTATCTTCAACAGCACATGGTTAATTAGATAAACGAATAAAATACGAGATGTAATGAAATTATAAGATACTTACCGAAGGGGGGGGAGGAAGTCTGAAGCTCGGCAGAGCTAAAGGTATTATATGAGATTTATTTGTATAACAAGTGCACATAAATGTATTCTGGTTGAAAATCAATAAAAAAATAATTTTTAAAAAAAGAAGAACTTTGCTTCAGGATAAGAACAGAAATCGTACTCCAGCGGCGCAGCGGCAGCAGGAGGCCCCATTAGCTAAAGTAGTGCTTCAGGTTAAAAATAGTTTCAGGTTAAGAACGGACCTCGGAACGAATTAAGTACTTAACCCGAGGTACCACTGTATTGGAGAGACTGCAGTTATTTCCTCACCTGAGTCAAGCCTCTTTGCCATTTGATTCTGCCCTCATCAATGGTGAGTTGTTTCCCAGGAGGTGCCTGAGGATCCAGCCTTCCCACTTTGACCCTGATGTAGGATTGATTTGGGAAAGTGACCAAGTTGGTAATATCAAATTCAGCTACTAATTCTCCATGTTCGTCAAATGTAATTTCATCTCCAGCATTGTTGTTGAATGAGATCCTCTGCAGGAATGAATGGAGCTAGGTGGAGAGATATTAAAAATGTATCTAAAGTGCTGTGATATTCTTCCATAGCTTTCCTGGATGTATTTAAGCTCTTTTTTCGTTTAGGAGGGAACACGCGTCCGCTAGAACCAAATATTCTGCACCATTTACAACAGTTTGGCAAGTAGGAGGTGCTAATATGAGCTCACTGTACAGGCATGAGAAACCACTTTTTTTTTTTTTTTACTTTTTTAAGTGCTGCCTCTCTCACCGAGGAAGAGACTGATTGTGCTATTTGACAGCTAATTTATCAAAGTTTATTTTCTTAAGTTCTCACATCTAAAAGTATTTATTTACTGCCAGCTCACATAAAATATCAGAGCAGTGCACAGCATAAGATACCATCAATACTATACAAAAACCCACAAAATGACTGGTTCATATAAAACTGAATGTGTCCCCCCCCGCTTTACTGTCTATATTTTATCTTCTTCAATTGCTTTTTTACTTTTTATATAAAGTGTATAACTGGGGTTGCGGCGCTCATCTTGCTTTATTGGCCGAGGGAGCCAGCGTACAGCTTCTGGGTCATGTGGCCAGCATGACTAAGCCGCTTCTGGCGAACCAGAGCAGCGCACGGAAATTGCGTTTACCTTCCCACTGGAGCGGTACCTATTTATCTACTTGCTCTGGTGTGCTTTCGAACTGCTAGGTTGGCAGGAGCAGGGACCGAGCAACGGGAGCTCACCCCGTCACGGGTATTCGAACCGCCGACTTTCTGATTGGCAAGTCCTAGGCTCTGTGGTTTAACCCACAGCGCCATCCGGGTCCCTCTATATCTATCTATCTATCTATCTATCTATCTATCTATCTATCTATCTATCTCTATCATCTATCTATCTATCTATCATCTATCCATATATGAATGAAATGGTAAGAAAAGAAAATTATAAGAAAAAGAAAAGCAAACAACTGAATAGGCCACTTGGCATAACACAATGCTTTACAAAATTAACCATTGCCCTGCTAAATTCCAGAACGTGGCCAGGTTTTCTAGAGGAAAAGAACACTACCTGCCAAGGTTTCACATTTTGAGGAGACATATCCGCAAACACCCTTCTTCTGTGGTTGGATCCAGCTGACTGCATAGCATGCAAAGCATGTGCCAAAGCATAGACGGCATTATAGATACTGTAGCTGTGGCCAGTCATGCTCATCTCAAAATATGGAGAAGGGATGCTCTCCAGCAACTCCTCTCCAGTACACACTTTACCAGTGTTCATTGTCTCCGTGGAGTTTGAAACTGAACAAGTGAATGCCTGTTGCCAGAAACTATTTATGAAACCATCTCCACCTGCCCAACCAGGATATACATCTTGAATAAATTTTTGGAAGTCTGGAAGCTCCTTTGAGTGAATTGTGAAAGAGATAGCACCGTGGAATATTTGTATATCAGTCCCAAGAGTTTTCTGAATGCTGTGTAATGCAAAATCAATTTGGGCTGTTGTAATCCATACTTTTACTTCAGGGGACTTCTTATATTGAGGAAATAGCCACTGAAGCATCTTCAATGCCTTTATAGTACTTGCCAACCATAAAATCGTCCCAGTTTTTCCATATATAACAATTGCCTTGGCTTTGCTTGTCAAAAAAGCTGATGATAAAATTTTTGTATCTTTCATCAAATCAAATACGTCACCAGTGAAACGCAGATTGTTTACAACTCTCTCTGTGAATGCTGAACAGATCTCATTCTCGAAAAGCATTGGCTCTATGATCTGCAAGAAATGTTCTCCACCTTCATTATTCATAGTGACAAGCCCAACCCATTTCCATTTGAAATGCAGAAGTAGTTGAATAATTCCCTGGTACTGAAGGGCTTCATTGGGGACCATGCGGTAAAAAGATGGGAACTTAATTAGATTATTTGCTTGTGATTCAAATGAACCATATGAAATCTGAAAAAAAGGCAAACATGTAAGAATGGGAACAAGAGTGCGGATCACATTGCCATTTCACTGAATATTTTTTCACAGCGCAATTGTATATACTCCACAATTTTTTTTGAGAGCAATGCCCCCTCTGCTTGCACACAAATACACAAACACATCTAGTCTTGTTCAACTGTTTCTGTATATATTGATTCCTTTTACATTCATGTAGTTTTTAATTTATTATTTTTGTTTATATTACTGTTTCACCATAAGGAGCCCAGGATAACGTACAATGAAATGTCAGTAAAATATAAAAACGCCATAGCATTTACAGCAAATATTAATACATCTAAAACAATCAAAATCAGAGGTCAGCAACCTTTTTCAGCAGGGGGCTGGTCCACCGTCCCTCAGACCATGTGGCGGGCCGGACTATATTTGAAAAAAAATAATGAACAAATTCCTATGCCCCACAAATAACCCAGAGATGCATTTTAAATAAAAGGACACATTCTAATCATGTAAAAACATGCTGATTCCTGGATCATCCACAGGCTGGATTGAGAAGGCGATTGGGCCGCATCCGGCCCCTGGGCCTTAGGTTGTCTACCCATGGTCAAAACTCATTCAAGCAACGCAGCACAACAGTACAATAGTGTCAGGGGCTCAGGAGCAGAGGCACAGGAAAGGGAGGAAATAGAGAGCGAGGGGGAGGAATCTGAAGGAAATGTTAGCGATGACAGCGGTCCGAGGTCTCTGAGTCTTTCCAGCGAATCGGAAGATTCACAGAAAGGGGCTCCCATGGTCAGAGCAAGGGGGGTGCCGAGGGGGACACCCCAGGAAGAAGGGGCCAGAGGGGACTCAGAGAGCAGCAGTTGGAAATCAGGACCAGCTTCCCCACCAGAGCGCAGTAGGGGGGAGGAGTCCCAGGTATCGGGATCAGGCGGCTCACCGCCAGCGGGAGGACATGAGTCAGGATTGGCCATGCCTCCATCGGGGAGCGAGGAAACGGTCAAGAGGAAGGTTGAAGGCTGGGCGCGCGCGCCAAGTTCAAATGTACAGGAGGGTGGCGCAGTTGGCAGCCCGGATAGGGAGCCAGGTCCCAAAGCCCGCCAAAAAGAGGGGGAGGAGTCAGGGGGGTCAGCGTCAGAAGAGTCCAGAAAGGAGGAGACCCCGGGGGGCAGAAAGACCCAGAGGAGAAAGGAGAGACGGAAGAGGTGGAGTAAGGTTAGAGTCTTAAGTTGGTGTACAGGGGGTGGAGACTCAGATGGAGCTTCGCCGGTCTAGCCTCTAAGACGTAGAGCTGGGCGCTGCGGCTTGAAAATGGAAACTGTACTTCAATAAAGACTTTTGTACATTACTACCGGCTAGCGTTGGTCCTCTGTGAGCTGGGACCTGGAGCCAGCTCTGACAAATAGCATTACTGCTGGATTATTATTATTAATTTATACCCCACCCATCTGGCTGGGTTTCCCCAGCCACACTCTGAGCAGCTTCCAACAAAAGATTAAAAATACATTAAAACATCAGTCATTAAAAACTTCCCTAAACAGGGCTGCCTTCAGTGCCAGATCTGTCTCCCCAGTGCCAGAACTACAACAAACAAAATTTTGATGGACTCCTGAACGTGAAGATGTGGGGAAACTTCCTAGTTTCCCAGGGAGGGATTTTCACAATTGGGACACCAACACTGGAAAAGCCCTGGTCCTTGTTATCATCTATTGGCTATGACTGTTGGAAGGACATTAAGAATGACTTCCCCTACTGATCTCAAACCATGGATCAGTGGGTATTGAGGAAGGTACTGCTTGGTTAATGGGTCCTGAACTGCTTGGGGCTTTGTAAGTTAGCATCAACATCACGAGTTGAGCCCACCAGTTCAGTATCCAGTGCCGTGCTTTCAGAGTTAATAATAATAATAATAAATTTTTATTTATATCCCACCCTCCCCGGCCAAGACCAGGCTCAGGGCGGCTAACAATGAATATAAATACAGTAACAACATTTAAAAAAACCACAAAACCCCCAAACCCCCCATCAACAACAGTTGATTAAAATATAAGTTAGAATACAGTTTAAAATGCAGCTTAAGATACAGTTTTGTTTTAGTGGTAGCCTATAGATCAAAGTCATAAGGGGAGAAAACGTCAAATATTCACTGGGGGCAACTATCCATGCTGGTCCTACATGGGTCAGCAAAAAGAGCTGAGGGAAAATTTATATACAAATCCCATATAAGGGGTTCCATTTTAAAAATAAACAAATAAATTGGGGGTGGGGGTGGTTAGACTGAGTCCAGTCCAAAGGCCAGGCGGAACAGCTCCGTCTTGCAGGCCCTGCGGAAAGATGTCAAATCCTGCAGGGCCCTGATCTCCTGCGGTAGGGTGTTCCACCAGGCTGGGGCCAGAGCTGAAAAGGCCCTGGCCCTGGTTGAGGCCAATCTAACCTCCTTGGGGCACGGGACTTCCAAAGTGTTGTTATTTATGGACCTTAAGGTCCTCTGCGGGGCATACCAGGAGAGGCGATCCTGTAGGTATGATCCCACCTAGCAGTCCCATTTAGCAATCTGTCACCATCAGAATAATCTTTCAACACATATTCTTGAGATCCTCACCCTTTTCATGCACATTGTTGGGTACCCATATTATATTCCCCAGACATTTCCCATATATTTCAGCTCCTTTTGCTTTTGCCCAGTGCATCGTTCCATATTTATGAATCAACAAATTCCTGCTGGAAAGAAAGAAGAAGAATGGATTACAGTGCCATGTCTCTCTGTCTCTGATGCTCAGGTCCTACCTGTGGAATCTTATACAGACCCAAGATGTCTGCCATGCATGAAGTGGTATCAGAACTCAGTCCCCCGATGACTCCTATTACATTTTTCTGGATGCCACATTGGTAGTTGGGGACAAAGTAATTTGTATTAAAGAGCAGGTCCAGAGTGGCCCTGTAGGTCATCCTTGAATCAGTATAGCTGTCATAGATGTGGAACCCAAGAGTGACATTGGGCAGGATCCTGGGGTTCTCATTGATCTCATCAACAGCAAACACCAAGACCAAGATGTGCTGGTAGAATTTTGTCAGCATTCTGCAAATAAAACGACTTGCTATTTGATGGGAAGATAAGAGCAAGTTTCATAAAAAAACATTGTTGTCTCCATTTATACGCCACCCACAACTAAGTCACACATCCATCTGCGTTGTAATCGAGGTGATGCAAAGCATATTCCAGGCTGATTGCTAAAAGGCAGACTTTTAGTAAAATAGCTGTGATTTCTTGTAATTTTTCTTTTGTTTTATTGGAATTTTATTTACAACATAACATAACCCGCCCCCAAATACACAAATCTACCCTCATTAAACGTGAACATAACATACAATGAGCATAACAAACAAGCAATACAAACAAGCAAATAAAAGACTTCCTTTATCCTGTATCTGGCCTCCTTATTTGCTTCTTATAAACTGTTTCCTTTCTAAATAATTATTAAGATTTTTCTAATTATAACTTAAATATCCACTAAGTCTCCTGCAGACATTAATCGAAACAAGTCCAGGTATGTATTTTAGGGCACTGTTTTGTGAAGTATTCTCTGCATTTCCCCCATGCTTTTTGAAACTCTTGTCTAGTGTGATCTCTAATTGCCTCTGTTAATCTGGCCAGTTCAATATACTCTAACAGTTTGTCTTGCCATTCCTGTTTTGTCGGCACAGTTTCTTTTTTTCCAGTTTTTAGCAATTAGGATCCTTGCCGCTCCTGTGGCATAGAGGAATATTTTCTGATCTTCTCTTGCTATCCCTGTGTCCGTTATCCCTAGTAGAAAAGCTTCTGCATTTTTCATAAAGTTATACTTAAACATTTTTTTAAGCTCATCATATTCTGTGTTCCAGAAACTTTTGATTTTTTTCACAGGTCCACCAAACATGTATAAGTGTCCCCTCTGTTTTATCACACCTCCAGCACAGATTTGTTTTTGTCTTATAAAAAGGTAAAGGGACCCCTGACCATTAGGTCCAAACATGAACAACTCTGGGGTTGCTGCGCTCATCTCGCTTTATTGGCCGAGGGAGCCGGTGTACAGCTTCTGGGTCATGTGGCCAGCATGACTAAGCCACTTCTGGCGAACCAGAGCAGCGCACGGAAACGCCGTTTAGCTTCCCGCTGGAGCGGTATCTATTTATTTACTTGCACTTTGATGTGCTTTCGAACTGGTAGGTTGGCAGGAGCAGGGACCGAGCAACGGGAGCTCACCCCGTGGGGATTTGAACCGCCAACCTTCTGATTGGCAAGTCCTAGGCTCTGTGGTTTAACCCACAGCGCCACCCGCGTCCCATTTTGTCTTATACATTTTAGCTATTTTGGTAGTTGTTAAGCACCATCTATAAAACATCTTGATTAGGTTTTCCCTCAATAGAGTCTACCCCCATAAAAGCAGGAATCATAGCTGTGATTCCTGCATTTCAGGGGGTAGACTAGATTTGCACTCTGGGACCCTCCCAAAGCTGCAATTCTATGGTTCTAACTCCGGTGGTCTAAAGGGGAGGGTGGGTAAGCAGAGGGGAATTCTCTGGTTTGTCCAGGAACCCACTTCCCTGCACAATACAGAACCAAGGAAAGCTGCAAAAAGCCCTATCCTCTAACTACTTTTCTCAAAGCAACTTACAGTCAGATAGAAAAATATAAAGATAATTGAAATTTAAATGGACCATTTACTTACAAGGGGTTGTCGATCATGACCCGAGAAGGGTGTTCATTGAATAAAACCTTGGGAAACACATAATGGATATGAGATGACATCTCACCAAGGAGGAGATCACCTGACTCATACCACTCATGATGAATATGTGCAGGATTGCTTTGGGTGCACTTCAAACTATGCTCTTTGCACCCCACATTGGGGAGCAGGAACAGCAGCAGCAGCACCACCAACATCCTGATTTCAAACTTTATTCTATGCGTGGGCTTTCCTCCCTCTCTGTCTCTTTCCAACATGGTTGCTATTTTCAGCCTGATTTGAATAAGATGGCTTGGTGGCAGCAGAATCTGTCAAGGGATTTCTCAAGTGGGCATATATCCACTTTATCCTTGATTTCAACATTGTCAGAAAAGCATGCCTTGGATATCAGATAAGTAACCCTGATCTGAAGCTTTAGCTATGTTAGGATTGTTATTGATTAAATTTCTATAGTGCCTTTCTTCTAAAGAACACAGGGCAGTTTACAACATAAAAACACAAAATGCATAACATAATAACAATAAATAATAATAAATACCGCTACCCCCACTACAATGAAAGAAGGAACCTGAACAGCTTAACAGAGCCTGATCACTCTTTTGTTCTTTATCCGATCTGGCCATGGATTACTGAAGCGTTTATAATCATTTTAGCCTTGCTTGTTGATTTTTTCCCTGTCTCCCTACTGTCTTCCAGAGCTTTGGCCGGGTGAACTGATTACTGTAATCTTAATAATTACAGGGGAAAGAATCACTACTGAAATGTTTTGGGGTGATGTAATGTGTCATCATTTGGCGCTCTGCCAAAGGAAACTTATTTGTTAGAGCAGAGATTATGGAGGGGAGCGCCAAGGACATTTAGTCCAACCCTCTGCTGATAGAGGGCCTCCGCAGCTACAAAACCTCCTCCTCCTCAATCTTTATTATGGTCCAGAGACCCAACAAATCATTACAAAGCAATGCACAATTCATACAGCCTACCTCCAGGTTAAACAAGCATTTTGTTCAGAAAATAGGGATTATTTTTTCTTGCAACCACCGATAAAAACTTTGCCACTGCTAATGTTCTAGCATTTGTCCGGTCTTCGAATAGGAACCTGACATAGTGAGCCTCTGATTTTCCCGGGAAAGGTACCAGCAAGGGTAGTATCAGTTCAGCCCTGGCTTGCTCATGTTTTGCACAATGCAACAAAATATGTTTTATGGAATCGATGTCTTGTGCACACGAGCAAAGTCTGTCCTGGTAGGGAACTCCTCTCAACCTGCCATCCAACACTGCAGAAGGAAAAACGTTTAGTCTGGCTTTGGTGAAAAGCCTTCGGTAGTTTGGTACTGTCAGGTTTTTAATTTAAGATATTAACTTAAAGACATACCCATATTGTACTCCTACTACCAGCGGACTACAGACTGCGTGTGATCGAGATCGCAAGTCACTGTGTGCATTATCTCATAATCTTTGCTTTAGCATCTTTTGGGCGCCTTCATACCCAGGTAATACAGCTGGGGGGGGGGGAGACAGACCAATAGAGGTGGCTTTTCTAGCCATGGTTTTCTGCCATTTGCTGACAAATTCCTCATTGGTCAGATGTTGGTACAGACCCTTCCCTAGATTAAACACTGAAATCCTGAGCCAGTGTTTTAGGGCAGCCCACCACGCTTTAGTTGAAATTGGGCATTCACCAGCTTCTAACAGAAGTATGGAGTTGGGGACACAGTTGGGTACAAAACCTGTAATACGCGACCATCAGAATATTGTTGTGAGTGGTGTGAGATTCCAGGGGTTTCCAGGCACTTGCCCAGGGTTCGTGTTTCCATTTGGGAATGAAGCATGGTTGAGATTGTGGTGTCTTTATGATATATGGTTTATTAGCACATATATACAACCTGACCCCGCAATGGAGGATCATCACCCCCAAAGGGACTTGTTTTGCGCATAGCCACAGCCTTGGATTAGATACAAATGAAACATATTTTTTTTTGAAATAATTTTTATTTTATTTTACAAACTCATTCACATTCAAAATCACAGATATTAAAAATTACACAAGATTCTTCCGGATCTCAAGACCTCCCCCCTCCCCTCAACGGGTTCTTTGTGGTGTCTTTATGATACAGTGGTACCTCGGGTTACATATGCTTCAGGTTACAGACGCTTCAGGTTACAGACTCCGCTAACCCAGAAATAGTGCTTCAGGGTAAGAACTTTGCTTCAGGATGACAACAGAAATCGTGCTCCAGCGGCGCAGCAGCAGCGGGAGGCCCCATTAGCTAAAGTAGTGCTTCAGGTTAAGAACAGTTTCAGGTTAAGAACAGACCTCCGGAACGAATTAAGTACTTAAGTACCTGAGGTACCACTGTATATGGTTCATTAGCACATATATACAACCTGACCCTGCAATGGAAGGCTTCACAGCATCAAGACCCCAAAAGGATCTTGTTTAGCCCATAGCCACAGCCTTGGATTAGATACAAATGAAACATTGCCCCCCCTCCTGTCTCCAGCTTTTCACGTTTTCCCTCCATTTTACATCACTGCCCTCCAAACTCTCTACTCTGACATTATCTGCTGAGGGATGGAGCCCCACCCATTTCACTTCTCACACTGAGCCGCTTAATCCTTCTTAATGACTCATCACCCAAGTGATCACCTCATCAGTAAGGGAGCCTGGCTTATATTTGAACATTTGCTGGACCCTGGGGTTCAGGAAGCTAGTCTGGCTTGATTAACTTTTAACACTTGCTGGATCCAGGGATTAGAAGGGTCTGGACCCCAATTTATCACTCCAAACTCATAACAATATGAACAGACCCCCAGTTTACACTAGATGTTCAATATTTTTTAATGGAAAACATGACATCTTAGGTTAGAACAATGAAACACAAAACAATGCAACAGAGTATCGTGAAAAAAGAACAACACTTTTCTCTCTGTGTCTATTTTCTACTGCTGGGCTACATCGTTTAACCAATGTAACAACCATAGTTTCTTTCCTTCACAAGGCTCCTATTCATTAACACATCTATTATGAGGGTTCATGGTTAACCTACATTTTGTGTTTGTAACTGGATAAGAAGCTGGCCTAACCTGCAGTGTACTCTGGGTAATCACCCCCTCTGCCCATGTCTTCCTGACACTCCCTAGCAAATTGCTGTGTGACAGGAACCTTAATTTTTAAACCACTGATAATGTTCAGCTGCAATAATGATGATAATGAAATACATTAGCAATGGAAACATCCCTGAATGCAGATTTTACAACTTGAGACCCTTGTCTCCAGAGAGAGGCTAACTCAGTCAAATATAGATACGTAAATTTGGGATGAGTAAAACTATAGCATGCCATGGGGCAAGC